GTCACCTGTGTCACCGGGGAAGGCGAGAAAGGCCCAGAACCAGAAGGGCCTGGGGCGTGAGGCTTGGACCCCGCCAGCCCCACTGTGGGTTGAGCTGTGTCCCTCAGGAAGACAGGCTGACGTCCTAGCCCAGGTGCCAGCTTCTGCAGATGCGGTCAAGTTAAGAGAAGGCTGTCCTGGACAGGGGTGGGCCTTCACCAGCGGCTGGCCCCAGAAGAAGGGAGACGAGACGGACACCGAGGGAGAGAGCCCATGTGACAACGAAGGCGAAGACGAGAGATGCGGCCACAACGGGGGATGCCCGGGACAGCTGGGGGCCAGCAAAGGCTTGGGGGGGCCCAGGACGGATTCTCCCTGGGAACCGACCTGCCCACACCTCGATTTTGGGCTCCTGGCCCCAGGGTGGTGAGACAGTGTACATTTCTTTCTAGGTTAAGCTGCCCGGGCTGCGGCGTCTGTCACGGTGGCCCCGGGACACTCACACAGGCCCCGTCCTAAGCGGGCGTGGCAGCCCAGGACCCCCTTGGCGAGGCCGGGGCGCCACCGCGCCGGTCCTCTCGGAGGACGGCTTGAAGGTGGGAAGGCACTTCCCGGAAGTGGAGACTCTGACCCGACAGTGAGCGGGCCCCGCCCACCTGCCCTGCCCCCGCCCCGCCTCGCCGCGCCCAGGGCGTGCCTGGAGCTTCCTTCTGAGCACTTTCACCACTGGCAAGGAGCAGTACTTCATGACTGATTTCTTGGAGGTCTTCCAAAAAGTAAAGAGAAAACATTTTTTAAAAGAATAAAATTCCATGAAGCTGGGGCCATGGGACTCACAAAATCGAAGGCACATGGACCTGAGTGACGTTTTTTTCTGACGTCTTGAAATACTTCGCTTGTTCACCGAATTGGAACTGCTTCACCTTTCCTTGCCAACTATTCCTGACGCCGCTCAAAACGACGTGAGAAGGAAAGGGGGCTCGGGGGGAACAGCCCAGAGGGACAAGGGGACGGAGAAGTAAGTGGCCGGCCGACCATCTCTCAGGCTCCTCACTGTCTGGCCCCGAGCACGGCGTCCCCTCCTGGAGGGCGGGGGGGGAAGGGGCCTGCAGACGTGGCCGGGGTGGGCTTTACCGGCCAGACCTGGAAGTCTCCCTTTTCTGTCTACATGGCAAAGACGGGAACACTGACGAAGAGGCTTTTTAAGCCTCTTGGATGAACTGGAAGCTGAAGGCAGAGAAGCAGAAGGGCTCTCTGGGCTCAGGCCGATGGGGAGCCCAGACTGTGCGTCTCGGGTGGCACCACACCGGTCCTCACCCTGGAGGACCGTGCACTCTGAGGACAGAAAGAAAACACGGCCTCCGTCCCGCGAGCCCCGAGCCACGTTTGCAGCAAGAGCTCGGACCCCCATTTTACTAAAAGGAAGCGTGGCAGGCGCTGCCATCAGGACCTGAGCACCAAACTCCAAGAGTTTGTAAATGCAGCGGGCTCTACAGAGAGGAACCAGATGATGGAAAAATGGAAAAAGTCACCGGTCTGATCACTCAACTGGCCTTTATAAATCTAACTGTGAATGCATTTTGAATATTTTCAACAATCACCTCTTCACCAAAGCTGTGAGCTTTCAAAAGGTCCAAAAGTGTCATGCTTTATGGACAAGAGGGACGGCAACCACGATGGCTGGGCCACTGGGGCCGCTCTGCACTCGGCTCAGGGTCAAGTCAGGGGTCAGGACGGCAGCGAGGCTCCCAGAGCTCTGCCTGCCTCCTGCCCAGACAGCCCCGCCCCTGAATCCACCCCGTCGTGCTCAGCGTGACACACTGGTCACCCGACTTGGCTCAGACTAACAGGTGGAGAGGCCGGTGGGCGAGGACGTGGGCAGCACAGGCTGGGCCAGGCAGGGGGACGGGGGAGACGGAGCCCCGGGGAGAAGAAGCGGGAACAGGTGGGCCGACCCCCGAAAGGCAGCCTGAGCAGTGCTTGCTCGGCCACGGCGTGGGGTGCGGGGCATGGGGCTTGGGAAGGCATCTTCCCTGAAGAGCGAGGGGCACACAGACGGCCGCAGTGTGGTGGACCTGGGGCGCCCAGAACCCGCGACACGACCTCAGCTGGAAGAAAGGCTCTTTGCGGATGGAATTAATGAGGGTCCGGAGAAGGCGTCACCCTGGATAATCCCATGACAGGTGTCCTTGAAAGAGACACGGACACACACGGAGGAGAAGCCATGTGACGGTGAAGAGATGGAGAGGCGGCGGCCCCGAGCCCAGGACGCCTGGGGCCCCACGAGCCTCTGACGGGAGCGCAGTCCTGGCGCCCCCGGGTGGCAGCTACAACTAACGCACTGGGACAGTTACTGAGCTGAGCCCGGCCTCTGGAACTTCTGTGTGATAAGGTAACGCGCTCGTATCAGAATCTGAAGAAGCATTTCAGCACATTACAGCCGAGGGCACTTGTGTGCTAGTAAGAAAGACCACAAGGGTATTACAGAAGTCACAACAGAGAACAGGGACGCAAGGCCAGGCGCCGACTTCACCGTGGGCGGATGTGACCTGCGTGGGTGCGTGCTGTCCTGTGCTGTGACCTGCACCGGCCAGAAGCGGGGGTTCCCTCCCAGCAGGATGGGGGCTCGTGCTCTGGGGCGGGGCTTACCC